ATTGTCAGTGTGCTCATACTACCAGAGCAAAAGGCAGCTGCGGAGGGCTGAGGGCGGGGCTGGGTTGCTCCAGGAGACTGAGTGCAAACAGGAAAGTTAAATAGGCAAAGGGGAAGGAATGAAAGAGAGCTGTGTAACCAAAGGGCCAGGAGCCTTGCTTGGGGAAGGAAGCCCGACTGGGCAAGCTCAGAATGCTGGCTCCAGAGTTGCAGGGTTTTACTGTCTGTTCAAAACTCTTGGTCTTTGACCTTGGAGTTTCCCCACAGAAAGATTAGGTGTGGCTGTCTGTTCAGTTCACTCCAAGTCTCTGGTGCCCAGAGCACCCATCTGGAGAAGGAGCGGTAGGGAGTGCATGGTGGGTGTAAGAGGGTGGGGAGGCAGAGAAGGAGGGAGGGGTGGTTTTAGGTAGAAGTTTGAGATGTGTGCCTTGAAGAGGTCACCGGTTGCAAAGCTCAGGATGTTCTTCAAGCCTCTGAGGGAATGGGGGCTTTTGTCTAAATGCCTGACCTTGGGAAAAGGACTTTCTTGGGGGATCAGACGGGCACCTACACAGAGAAGGCTAGGTCAAGACCGAGTCTACAGGAAAGATTTGGCCAGAAGGGGCCTCCGGAAGCTGGAAAGAACAAGGCAGAGGTTTCCGCCTCTTCAAGGGGAGTGTGGTCCTGTTGACACCTTCAGTTTGGACTTCCAGACTCTAGATCTGTGAGAGAATGATTTCTCTGCTTTCAGAATAAGTTGCTAAGACAGCCTTACACAACTAACACAAAGAGCAACCGTGACGATGGGACGCCAGAGAAGCTCGTCTCTCTTAGGAAGAGTAGTTTAGACATACGAATGTAGACTTTGAGGTGGTGGTAAGAGGCCAAAAGCTACCTTGGGGTCGCATAAAGACGCGGCAACCGACAGCTATTACCATTGTTGCTCGCTGGGGGATCACTGTCTTACAAACTCATCTGGTGTTCCTGGTATCTCGAGGTGGCAAATGAGTTCAAGCTCTGCCAATAGCACAGCAAAGCTCAGCTCGTTCCTCGCGGCGCCTCAGCTCGAACGTAAAGGTTCCTGGGTACGAAATTCTATTTGTATTTCTTCACCTCGGGCTGATTCCAAGTTCATATCCACCCTGAAAGTCTACCTCAGACCTTTCCAGGGAGATCCTAGAGATGGCACAAGCTTTCCTCCATTCTTCCTCCCCCTACCCCGACTCCCAGGACTCGGGTTACAGAGGAAGTCCGCCACCTTGTGGACACTCACAGTTCCAACAGCCTAACCTTTAAACCACAAAATCCTTTATCTTATTGATGTAAAAGGACAAGCCATAGGTGAAAAATCCTCCGGTCTTCAAAATAGCTAAGAGGTGAGCAAAGTGACATTAAACAGGTCCCCAGGGAGCCGCTTTTCGGCCCTTGGAGACATGACACCACACCTACAGATGACCCCTTAAGCCTCCCAGGTTTCTGTGTCTCAAAACCCTGTGGAGGCTTTTCCGTGGCCTTGGAAAAACTCAACTTCAGACCCAATCAAGTCTAAGAGAACGAGGGAGGAGGAATGGAGCAGTTTATTAATAAGTAGTAAGTCGTAGCTAGGCTATAATACATTCTAGTGTGTTGTCAAAAGTAGAATGAATACCTGTGATTCATGGTGTAACTCAAAACACTAGAAAGGCTGGGCATGTTTGGCACACATCTTTAATTCCCAACACCCCATAGGCAAGGGCAGGTGGAGCACTGTGAGTTCAAGGCCAGCCATAGTTACATGGGGGGAACCCTGTCTAAAGGGAAAATAAGCTAGAGCAAGAACCACAAATGCTTTCACCATGGAGACGTGACAAGTTTGAGGAAATGGATACATCTAACACGACCACGAAGTGTCTACAGTGATCCAAAGCAGGCCCTCCTTTACATGAATACTTTTTTTTTTTTTAATTTTAACTTTCAGGTAGAGGTAAATTTAGGGCTAGGTGTGGTGGTTCAGTGCCTTTAATTCAGGGACTTCGGAGGCAAAGTCAGATCTTTGTGATTTTTGAGACCAGCCTCAGATAGATAGACATTTAGAAAAATAGATAGATAGATAGATAGATAGATAGATAGATAGATTTTTATATCAAAAGGAAGGAAGGAAGGAAGGAAGGAAGGAAGGAAGGAAGGAAGGAAGGAAGGAAGATAAAGATTTTACACACTGGGGAAAAACTAATCTATGTCTCCATGTCTTCATCTGTAAAGTGAAGGACACTATAACTACTAAGACCTGCCGCAAGCATGAAATAAACCCACGGATTTAAAGTGGCTTTAAAGTGGATTTATATCGCCTCACTCGATAAACTTGACATAGTGACTGAATGTTACTCACCTTGAAGCCCAATTCTTACACTTAATGAAGGCTCTGGACGTGGTAGGTACCGCTCGCCAGGAAGGGTGGGAAGTCATGGCCTCTCCTCCTGCACTGTGGCAGGTCCAGCAGCATGAACAGTCTATGTACGTGCACAATAAAGAAAGGCAAAATATAAGAAATGGTATGAAAGCAACAAAAAGGAAGCATGAGGAGAACAGTCTCCTTGCTCTCAGCAGATGACACTGGGGGTTCACTCAGAGGCAGGTCAACAGCAGCACGGGCTGCCAGGCCAAAGGTCCACTGTTCCCACGAAGAGCCAAGCGCCGCAAAAGCTTAATTTTGCCATCAGATGGATGCCTAGTTTTAGCCTTGCCAACAGATGCATGGTTTTAGTTCCCGAGTTCAGCCTTATCGAATTTAATCATTCAAGCTTCCTTCTCTCCATTGTCACAGGTACTCCATGACTGTGATTTTAAGAGAAGCCTATGTGACTCAGTGTAGACTCCCCCAACCATTCTCTCCATACCCTGCTCTTCCCCCAGCAAAGAGTTTCCTCCGGTCCCTTCTCCTCTGCTTGTAGATGGGGCCTTCTCCTGTGTCCTCACAGAGTCCCTCCTCCCCATCTGTGCCTGGGGCTCCTCTTCACACAGGGACACTAGTCTATTGGAATAAAGTTCACCCTTGTGGTCTCGTTTAAAAATGTTCTTTTATTATTAATATTGTTAACTATCATATTGCCATCATCATCATCATAACCATTCACCATCATAATCGTGTGTGTGTGTGTGTGTGGTGTGAATATGTGTAGGTCAGATCTTTCCTGCCTTTTCACAGGTTCCAGGTTCCACAGATCAAAATCAGGTTGCTAGTTTTGTGCAGCAAGTGCCTTAACGGGAAAGCCATCCTACCAGCCCATGACTTCATTTTAACCTAACCACCTCTTTAAAGACTCTTAGGGCCAAATAATGGGGTTGGGGCCTGGAAAGTGGGGTGGGGAGGGAATCCGGCCCACAACCTTCTCTGCTTTATTCTTTCCATGTAGGATAGGGATAGGGCTATGAAGGTGATCTTGGCAAGTTCCCAGCCCTTCAAGGTTGATTAATGGGGAAGACCTGAACAGGAGCCGTGCCCAGCACCAATAAGAACAGTTGCTGCTGCCCTCCACACCTTAGATAATGGTTGTGTCTGCTTTTCCAAGGCCCTCAAATGGCCTTCCCTGAGGGGAATTCCACTCCTTTGCCGTGCCAGGCACCCAGCAGATGACATTCCCAAGACACAGGTTTCCTCGTTCTAAAGCCGTGGTTCTCAACCTTCCTAATACAATTTCTCATGTTGTGGTGACCCCCAGCCAGGAAGGTATTTTTGTTGCTACTTCATAACTATAATTTTGCTACTGTTATGAAATGTAATGTAGATATCCATGTTTTCTGATTTTCTTAGGTGACTTCTGTGAAAGGGTCATTAGATCCCTGAAGGGTTTGAGACTCACAGGTTGAGAACGCTGGTCTAAAGGCTGAAACAGAAGAGAAGCTCGTTCTGAGCAGTTTAAAGACGTTTAGTTAAAAGGAAAGGGGAAGTGTCAAGCACCCAAGGGCAGGATTTGTGGTGACAAAGACTACTTAGAATAAAAATATTGAGGCTTATGCATGTGTGAAAGAGCCCAGAGAAAAGCTACCAGCAGGGTAGCTTACACAACAGAAAATGGCTGATCAGGTGAGCTGCCAGTACCTCCATGTCATTCCTTCTAAGAAATGCATAAGCAAATGAGTGTTGGAAATGTTGGTTTTGCTAGTGGGAGAGAAATGTAAATACGTATAGTATGTAATGTCGTATTGATAAGAGCGCATGAAGATAAAGCAGGCTGGCTGCTGAAAAGCTATGTGTTGTGTCACTCACTTTAGAAACTGTCACTATGTCTTCCTTGCTTTGAAAGCAAGAAGCTTTGGAAAAGAAGCAAATAAATACTAACCTAAAAAGCCAGGCATGGTGGCACATGCCTTTAATCCTAGCGCTATTTAGAATAACAATGATGAGGCCTGTGGATATGTAAATGAGTCCAGACTCCGTGAGTTCTAGGCCAGTCTGTGTTTGGTTTTTTCGAGAAAGCATTGCTCTGTGTAGCCCTGGCTGTCCTGGAGCTTGCTCTGTAGACCAGGCTGGCCTGGAACTCAGAGACTCTCCTTCCTCTTCCTCCCAAGTGCTAGGTTTAAAGGTGTGTGCCACCACTGCCCAACCAGGCCAGTCTGTTTTAGACAGGACAACCAGGGTTATGTAGACAGACCCTGTCTCAGAAAAACAAAACAAAACAAAACAAAACAAAAACTAGCCAGAACGCACACCCCCGCACCCACAAGCCTCTTTTTCCTTTTCTTTTCTCTTCTTCATTTCCATTTCTGGCTTGTGCTTTTGTTTTGTTTCCCTCTTTTGCCCTTTTGATTGTGAGAAAGAATAAGGAAAAAAGACGTCACAGCACGGCCGATGCCACACTTCTCCGCTAGTGGGCGCCGCGAGACCGTCCTAGGACTGAGGGAGGGCAGGGACGAGCTGGCCCCTCCTTTTAGCCCCGCCCCCGCCATCTGAGCCCTGCCCTCTTAGCCCCGCCCCTCCCGGGCCTTGCGCTGCTAGCCCGGCCTTTGACCACGCCCCTCTGGGCCGCGCCCGTTCCTCCGGCTTCCAGGCTATGGCGGCTGCCGTTGCTCCTTGGGCTCCCGGCTTGTGGCGGGCGTGCAACGCCCTCATGGCAGCCTTCTTCTCCCTGGCCGCCGTGGTGCAGGTCAGGCGGGCTGAGGAGGGCTGGCAGAGGGACCGCGGAGAAGCCGGCCCGGGCGGCGAGTTCTCAGGGTGGAGCAGCATTGGGGTTCATGTTTCCCGAACCCGCAGAGTGCTGATTGAACACCCATGAGTTGGTGTGATCAAGCAACCTGTGCACGTGAGCACAGCTGGCCACTTAGAAAGGGACCCAGGACCGCAGCTCTGGCATCTTTTCGAGCCTTCAGCTCGCGTGAGACCTGAGTGGGTTTCAGCGCCTGGGATGAAGGAAGAAACAGGACAGACAGCACCCTTCCCCTTCCTAGACTGCTTCCTGATCATCCTCAAGATGACTCCCCTCGTTTCTTGGGACCCAGGGTCTTAAAACACACCACTGAAGTTCCTAGAAAATCCCAAGCCATTCTTGTCAAAAGACGCATGGCTGTGTGTTAGAGCTACCTGCCGTGTTCACCCTGGAGTCCCGTCAGCCATCCTGATTGTGCAGACAGCTAGACCATTCTGTACCCAGAGCCCATTGCAGCGCCTAACTCTTCGAAATGAACAGTAGATACACGGTAAGACGAGACATAGGACAGCAAACATATCAGGTCCAACATCAGCTAACACCTTGATGTTTTGACATTCTAGGTGAACGATCCAGATGCAGAGTGGTGGGTGGTGAGTATGAGCTACTTTCAAAATGTTCCTCCGTTTGACACAACTATGCCTAAAACCTGGAAATGAGCACCTTTGTGAGCTTATTTTCCTAATTTTTCTCCTTGGAGTGGGAAGTCGCTGTGATGATCTCCTTGATTACACCAGTCATGATAATAGGAGTTCCTCTCATCTACTAAGGACCTACAACATGCTAGCCTCTTGGCATGCATTATGCTAACTTTTCTGACAGCCATCACAAGGATGTGTGTATTGGTTGTATTGGTCCGTGATTTTTGTCCTCAGACGGCAAACAAAAGTCCTGGAGGGAGACTGTACAGTATCACTGAGGAGCTCATTCTTGGGTTTGGGGACAGTGTTCACTGGGTATAGATGAGCAACGAGTAAAAACACCAGGAATTACAGAGCCAAGTCCTAGTTTGGTTTGGGTGTTTGTGCAGTAGAGCCGTAGCCTGATACTGCTTGCTGTCCAGACTCTCCTGCCCCCAAATCAAATGACCTCTTCCTTCTTTGGTCCATAGCCTGAGCTCCAGATCGTGTAATCCTGCAGAAAGCTTTATGTTGATTCTCTGAAAGGATACAGCAAATAGCCACCTGCACCGTGGTGCTGCTCCTCAAAACGTGCCCAGAGGCCCACCCAACACCTTTCCTCCCCACGGGCCTGTTGATCCTCCTAACCCAGCCATCTCTGTTCTCAGCAGAACCTCCCACACATCTTCACTCACAGGCTGTCACCTTTCCCGTCACTGCCTTGAGATGCCCTCAGAAGTAAAAGTGAAGAGGAATTCTCAGGATGGCTGTGTGCACAGTGCCTGAGCGGATGAAAACAGGTCACACAGTCTGATGGGTGCTCTCCCTCATTCCCATTTGCCCCTCTGTTACTTCCCCTAAGGACAGTCTTGCAACTCCTCTGTCTCCTGTCCCCTCTGCTCCTAGGCACCTGTAGGTCACTGTCTGCTTCCAAACCTTGTGCTGTTTCTCAAGCTAAGTTGGAGCTCCCCCATTTGGTCTTTAGGCCCACCATAGCATGGCCCAGCCCATGTTTCCAGCATTGTCTTTGAAGTCTAGTTCAGAAATGATGGCTACTGTGCCTTGCCCCTAGTGTGCTGCGGTGTGCCCAGGCTCTCTCTCACTCACTGTCACTCTTCCCAGGAGGATCTGAACATCCTTCCTTTGACTCCTGATTGTAGCAATAACCAGTTTGGCCTGTGTTCTGTGAAGCCAGGTTCCAGGAGAACAAGGACACATTCTCCCTCTTCTTAGGCGCCTTTATGGAAAAAGGTTTCTTGTAAAAATTCACCAAAGTGCACAGATGAGCAATGCTACAATACTTTCAGCACTTTGGAGACAGGACTTCACCCAGCTCCTTTCCACAGTCCTTGCTGCACCTTGTACGTGGAGGCTGTTTGCATCACAAAGACAAAGAGTGGAATGTGGGTGATAACAACAGGTTACAAAAATATAGAACTTATATCGCTGAAGAAACTCAGGTGATCTAGGCTCAGTGATGGACACCTGTAATCCCAGTGCTTGGGGTTGGGGGAGGGGCAGAGGCAGGTGGGTCTTTGTGAATTTGAGGCCAGCCTGGTCTACAAATCGAGGACAGCCAAGGCTACACAGAGAAACCTTGTCTCGAAAAAGAAAAAGAAAGAAAGAAACTCAAGTGGTTGCTTGATGGTCAACAGTGGCATGGGCTTGGGATTTCTCTTCTCAGGCATCCTCATTTTTATTGAGTAGCTGCTGCAGCTCCAGACCTCTGATTCCCAGAGAAGTCTATCCAAAGTAAGAAGAATCAAAACAGGAGCACAGCAGGTTTTCATCTGTGCTTTCATCCTTTTAGTTATGGAGAAAACATTTCCCAGGAAATCCCTTGGACAGGTAGCATTTGGTTTGCACAAATCAGAATGCCATGTTGCTGGCGTTCTGATTCATAAGCAACCATACCTTGTTAAATGCTTTGTATGTCATCGACTTGGACCTGGGAAGACATTGCCTTACCTTATATTCCTATTCATGATGATTTCTAGCTGCCAAAGAGGTTGAGAAAACAGTCTTGCAGTGGACATGAGTTAGAAATGAGCCCAGTGTATTTTGTGACTCTATTGGATTAAATTTTTTAAGTGCATACTATGATACTTTTAGTTTTTCCATTGTAAATAAAAATCAACAAAGGACTGGCAAGATGGCTCAGTGGGTGAAGGTGCTTGCCCCAAATACTGATGACCTGAATTTGGTCCTGGTGACCCACATAAAAGTAGGAGAGAACCAGCTCCACAAAGTTGTCATCTGACCACCAACACATAGATCATACATACATGCATATATACAGACAGGCAGACAGACAGACACACATTCACTCATAAAACAGTAAACTTAAAATTTCTTAAATCCCAACAGTAACAGAAACAAACATAAGTGGATTGCACTAGGTTCATATTTTTGCTGAGAATTGGTTTTTGTTTTGTTTCATTTTGGTTTGGTTTTTCTCTGTGCATCCCTGGCTGTCCTAGAACTCACTCTGTAGACCAGGCTGGCCTCAAACTCACAAAGATCCACCTTCCTCTGCCTCCCATGTGCTAGGATTAAAGGCTTGTACCACCATTGTTTTAACTTGTGCATGAGAAGCAAGTCTTTTCATTCTCTCTGCCCCCAGCTTTTTTCATCTTCTCCTGATAGGAAGAAGCATTTTAATAAGGATTATTACATCACAGTTGCTCTGAGAGACTTAAAGGATAGATCTGTTCATATGTGTGTAATGCACTGTAATAAGACTGTGTGAGCTGAGACAGATATCCAGGCATTTGAATGCACATTTAAAAAACCTATGCGGAACACTTCTCACAGAGCACAGTTGGATATTGATGGTGTGTGTACAAACAGGTGAGAGAGAGAGAGAGGGTGTGTGTGTGTTACCATGAGGCTTAGGAACGGGGCTTTTTCAGGGACAGTCTTCCAACTCCCTTTCCCAAATGAACAGCCTGGTCTCCGTAATGAGCACGTCAGACCCACACATCCTTTGGATGCTTTCGGTGACCTCACTTGTAGAACTGGAATACTGAGTCACGTGGTCTAGGGGGTCCAGCCGAGCAGGCCATCTGGTCATTCATGACTCTTCTGCAGAGAATGATCTTTTATGCAAGCAGGGAAGGACACCCTGGGTAAGGCAGTTGCTTGGGAGAGCCTGGGAGGCCAGCACTGACTAAACAATGCACAGAGCTACAGCTCAGGGATAAGGAGTGATTCCTGGCAGAGCCAGCCGAGGGAGGTAAAACTAGAGCTTGATGGAGTGACGAGGTCACACCTGCAGAAGTTATCACATCCTTGGTGAATACCAAAGCAGATGAAAATCCTGAAGCCTGGTGACCGCTGGTCACACTCTTCTTTGCTAGATCCTCTGGAACGTACCACGTGCTGAGCATACACCTGTTTTCAGTGGGGATGGGGACACTGTACCGGGCTACACTCCCAGGTTCCGGCACACTTCTTAACCCTCACATTTCCTTTGCTAACAGGTGGTGTACACGATCCCAGCGGTACTTACCCTGCTGGTGGGGTTTAATCCTCTTGTCACAGGTAGGAACAGTGGATTCTACATGCGGGGTCAGCAAATCAGTGTTCTTAGAATGCTGAGAATGTACCCAGTCAACTCCCAAGAGAGAAACAGGATTCCAGGCCTTCCCTCTCAATTCTGATAACGAGGAGCTCCTTTTCACCTAGCGTCCAGGTCCTACACCATCCTAGGGAGACTTCTCAAGGTCATAGCTTACTAGCCACTATCACCTGCAACTCGAGACCTCCTGGGCTGATTGCTTCTTGCTTCTGATGCAATTTAGCTCATAATGGGGAAGAGTTTGATCACCGCACTGACTTCTTAAACCTCCAGCTAGTGTCAAATGGGCAACAATCGGCAGTGGTAATCTTGTCTTCCCAGACTCAGGGGCAATCATTGCCTGTTCCTTTTTTTTTTTTTTTTTCTTTTTCTTTCTAATACAGATCAGCTCATTTCCTTTACACATTCTTAGAGCAGTGCCACTCTTGTTAACTACTTTCTTATTTGGAATTTATTAAAAAACGTAGGTGTACAAACTGCCACTTGTGTATAGAAAGTACTTCCCATGTCTGGAGCACACCTCCTTCCACTCCCACTCTCCCGGTGCACAGTTCTTGCGGCAGTGTATGCCTTACTTTTATGTGGCCCCCTATTGGGTACAAGCTTCTTACAAGCAAGAGCGTGCTTCATGCCTCTTCGCATAGCGTGCACTAGTCCACCCAGGTAAGCAACAGAAAGCGGAGAGGCCAGGCGCTGGCTGACAGGGACAAGAGGTGTGGGAAGGGTGGCTCTCCAAGGAACACGGACAAGGATCATAAAGCAAGTGAAAGAGCGCGCTGGCTCCTGGGTTCGCCATGAGTTACAGCTGCAGGATATCCACCTACAGGCAACTTCGTCTGGAAGAGTGTATCTACCGTACACATGCTGTTTTGCATGCTGTGGGCTGGTGGCTTGGCGTACCACTTCCTGCTTCATGCACAGCAGAACATCCTAAATGAGGAAGAAGGCAGGTGAGCGTCGGCTTTTGCTCTTTGGAGGGGTGGGGCAGACCTGAGTCATTCTTTCCTCGCTGCACAATGATGATTTAACTCCCCCAAATGTACCTCGAGGAGTGCAGGCGGTGACATAGCCGTTAGTATGAGGAAAGAGTGGAAATGGCGGAGCCAGGATTCAAACCTGTCATTGATCCCTGGGCACCATTATAACAGCTCTCGCAGCCATACCACTTCCACATTACTGCCCGGGAGGTGGACCTTGACCTTCCTGTAACTTAGCAAGGGCATAGTACAGTAATGCTCCGGTCTGATAAGCTGGAGACAGCACCCTGAGTCAGTCTTGGGTCAGTCTTAGAGGTAAGTGCAATCATCCACTTAGAAGTACTTTGAGTTGATCTCTGCCAACCTTGCTTGATGTGTCATAGGTCATCTCTCTTGATCAGAACCGTCTATTGCTGTTCTATTACCTTTCCTTTGTTGGGATCCCAGCCCTAACCTTTGCTTTCTTGTCTACCCTGCTGCTGGTGTCTGCTGGCACTATTCTCCAGAGACTTTGTGTTAGGGTATCATTGACAAAGTGCGGTTTGCTCTGGACCCTCGCCTCTGTAAACTGCAGAGCAAGCCAGGCCCCTGTGGATGGGGATGTAGACTGGATGGGTTGAGTCACCTTCAGCTTCCAGCCCAAGAATCAGGGTGGGCTTGAAGTGGAGCCTCCAGTGGCAGTGACACTCCTCAGCCAGTATGAGGCCCACACACCTGACACACAACTCCACAAACACGTTTCCCTCAACGCTGTTAGTCTGATTAATATTACAAGGCACTATTCTCCTTGCAATCCCCCCTAGCCCTCACAGTGTGTGTTTAGATTTCCTGTTCATCTGAGCCCCTGCAAAAACACTGACCTCCTTTTAAAAACAAGAAACAAAGGACAAATGACACCCCAGGCTGTTTGGGGGCTGTACCACTCCTGGGGGGCAGCAGCCACTTGGTAATGTGAAATGCGGTGTTTTCCAGGGAGCTGTCTGGCCTGGTGATTGTCACAGCGTGGATGGCACTGTGCCACAGCTCATCAAAGTAAGTTAAACTCATTAGTAAAAAATCAGTGGGCTAGAGAGACAGCTTAGGGGTTAAGAGCACCGGCTGATTTTCCAGGGGACCTGAGTTCGATTCCCAGCATCCACAGAGAGACTCATGGCTATTGGTTAGCTGCAGTCCCAGGGGACCAGGTACCCTCTTTTAGCTTCCATGGGTACACAAAGACACATGTAGGCAAAGCACTCATATACATAAAGTAAATAATTTTTGGCCCAAATATATTTGAAAGCAAATGTCATAATTTCTAAATGTATATTTTTGTTAATGATCTCTGTTAATTATAGTATGTTCAGAGAATATACATTATAGGATATTAAATTCTTTGGAAACTCTGAAGGGAATATTTTATGGCTGAACCTATGGTATTTTTGAAATGGTGTGCCTGTGGATTCTGCCAGGTGTGTGTGTGTGTGTGTGTGTGTGTGTGTGTGTGTGTGTGTGTGTG